AAAACCCTAACATTTTAAGCCAAGTTCACAAAATCCAATTGCTTAAAATGTAGCTGTACTGTTTCAAGGTTGAGAAAATAATCTGGATGAGCAAGCTGCAAAGAAATGAAGTCCATCATTGAAGTCAGATGCAGATCACATTGTATTAGAATGTATAGAGGGTTTCTCTGTATTGGAAAGAGAAGCTTTGACATACTGTTCCTATACTCCAATGAACCGTGTCCCTAACTCCCTGGTGTATACCCTAGTGTACCAGACCACAGGTTCCAGGGGCAAAGACCATACCCAAAATGATCACCAATGTATCCCCAGCACCTGTCCTGGTGCCTAGCACACAGTGGGTGCTCGATAAATACTTACCGAATGGAGGAACCCATCTCTTGAGTCCTGGTTTTACAAACAGGGTAAGAGCATTCTCTGTGCCAGGCAGGAGCCTAAGGGGCATATGTAACATTCTCGGTAACCTTACGAGAGATTGCCTTCATTGTACTCTGATGTCACTGCCATCCAGAGGTCACGTGGCTAGGAGTCGTGACCCAGGATCTGAACCAGGTGGTCCAGCTGCAAAGACCAAGCTCTTAGCCCTTGGTTCTGCCATTTCTCTTCCGTATGTTTTTGTTTTTTTTTTTTTTAAAGATTTTATTTATTTATTTGACAGAGAGAGACACAGCGAGAGAGGGAACACAAGCAGGGGGAGGGGGAGAGGGAGAAGCAGGCTTCCCACTGAGCAGGGAGCCCAGTGCGGGGCTCGATCCCAGGACCCCGGGATCATGACCTGAGCCGAAGGCAGACGCTTAACGACTGAGCCACCCCGGCGCCCCGGGAGGAGAGAATCTTAAGCAGACTCTCATGACCTGAGCCGAAATCAAAAGTTGGATGCTTAACCGACTGAGCCACCCAGGCGCCCTCTCTTCCGTATGTTTTGATTCTTCGAATGCCCACCATTTATGTACAGGCACCAGGGCAAAGCACGTGGCTCCTACCTGGATAAGCTGCTCTGTCGACGGGGAGACTTCCAGTTCTTTCCGTGTCACCCCAAAGCTGCCTTTCAGGCTCGTGTCCTCGACCTGCTGCTGCAACAAGGGCACCAGGTATCTCAGTGTGAGCAGCACTCCAAGAATCAGGAGGGTAGAATGTTCACCCTCAACAGGGACCAGCAAACCTGTATGGGAGCAATGAGATCTCTTAACATCATCGTCTGCTGGGGGATTCAGGGCTCAATTTGTTTAAAAGAAGACACCCAGAGTAGAACGGTGTTATGAGGTTGAGTGAGGGATAAAGATGGCCCAAACATTACTGTGGGAAAATACACAGGTATCTCATCTTTAGGCCAAAATCTAGGAAAGGCTTTAATAACCTTCGCATCCTTAGCTGAGCAAGCCCGTTAGAGGGAGTTCGGCTGCATATGAGTGTCAGGCCGTCCTTTCATATCAAATATCCACATGCTCCCCTCCGCCCTTGCTAGTGCTGATTTCCATAAACGAGTCCACAGACAGGAGAAACCATCAGCAGAGAACCTGCAAAGACCCCAGGCTCCGCTTCGGGCCTCAGAGCCTTACTACACTCACAGCCCACACACACAGCTGTGCAGTCTGCTGCACGGAGGCCAGCTGTCCTCAGGCACAGGGGCGCCCACACTTCTGCACAGAGGAGGCCCCTTGTCCTAATCGTCACAACACCCAACATGGGCTCATGGCAGCCTCAACACAGTCCCCATTCACTAGTCGGCCAGCGCCAAAGGGCCTGGGCTGGGAGCTAAGGCACTGCCTGATTTTAAAAGAATTCAAAAGATGTGTCTCAGGTAAATGCTAGAGACTCCAGCACACCATGGGGAAAATCACTCATACAACTACCTCTTACCTAAGAGCACATTTAGTAGCCAGCTATAAAAATACTGCGTCCTTCTCGAGTGCTGGCATATGCTCACCGCTGAGCCAGCCGCCGTCCGCCGAATGGTTGGGGAGCTTGACTTCAGATTTGCTATGAAAGCCTTTAAGAGAACCTAGGGCAGCAAAAATCCAAGTAGATAAAAGACAAAACTCCTAGGAAGCTTATCATGTTATTTCATAAAATTACTCCAAATTCTTACAGAGTATAGGTTATGACCAACTGGACTTCCCTACAGCTGAATAAAAGCACCCCAAGTTTGGGATATTCCAAAGCAGTTTGCAGAAGGAGTCTATTTACTTCCTTACTGTAAGTAAGGACTTGCTCAGTATCTATGTCCTCTACCCAAGAGTGAAAACCTGAGCTTCTAGAAAAGGTGCACCCACAGCATCTGGGTATGGGGTCAGTAAACGACGCCATGTAAAATAAAGACAGTAAAAAAAAACAAACAAACAAAACTCAAATAAGGAAGTCAAGGAGAAAAGCACAGTAGCCGAGGACAGCCACATCCCCGCCTGAGTCGGCCTGCAGGAGTGCTGCTAACACCACCGAGAGACGCTCCCTACCCTGGAAAGTGCTAACGAGCTGGGCCGCAGCAGCGGAGCGCCCGAGTATTTTCCTAAGGAGAGAAGACTTTGTCACAGAACCTCCAGGATAACCCAAAGTAGATCATGCTAGAATTCCAACGATGGCCATTTAAATCTTAACAAAAATATCCAAAGAATGAAAAGGCGTGGGCCGCCTGGATGGCTCGGTTGAGCGCCCAACTCGGGTTTTCGCTTAGGTCGTGATCTCCTGGTCGGGAGATTGAACCCCTGCATTGGGCTCCCTGCCAGTGGGGAATCTGCTTCCCTCTCTCTCTCTCTCTCTCCCTCTGCTCTGCCACCCCCGTCCCCCATCGCAGGCACTCTCTCTCATAAATAAATCTTAAAAAAAAAAAGAAAAGGCATGACCATCTAGCTTCCTGAGTTGGGGAACTAGCTTACATAAGAACACCCATTTCCATCACTTTAAAACCCACTCTGAGCAACAATTTGGTCTCCGTTACTGTTTGGCATTCACTGAGCAAAGCTACCTGGGCTGGGGATACCGTCAGGGCACCGCCACTGAGCCCTGAACCCAGGAAAACGAGCAGCATGTTAACAGACTGGCATCTGACTTACAAAGAAGCTCCTTCTTAACAGTATGGTCAGCACCAACTGCTTCTCAGAGGCTCATCCATTCTTGGTGAGCTTACACACTAGATCTCTGGAACCAGAAAGGCAGAGGACCAGACCCTCAGCCCCAGGATGTCCCCCATGGTTTGTGGCCTCCAGTTCCTCCTGCAGACGCCACCAGGAGAACCCAGTCAACTTACCTCAGACAAACCTTCTTACTCTGAGAAAAGATACTGGCACATTAAAGTAACTCGTCTGAGTGAAAACACACATACATATGTCATTGAACTAGTACGAATCATTCCGTATCAGTCCACACTTACAAGCACAGTGAAAGCTGAGCATTATTATAAACAGTGAGCCCACGGTGAACTTCAATAGTCTGGAATAATAAAACTGAATCTCAGAGTCTGAGGGGGCCTTCCCAGGTCCAAATCCCACAGTGCTGAGAAGGCAACTGGCAGGAGGTACCCAGACCACAGGCAGGCTCTTCTCATAACGGGAAGGAAGTGTGCTAGATTTTAGGGCAGACATCTTCACTTTTCAATAAATGTGTAGGACATATTTTTAAGAGTACTTCAAAAGGGAAAAGATGCAAAATCATTTAAAGTCAAGAGTACTATAGGGGATGGAAACGGAAATTAAAATCAAAATACGCCACCAGGGCACAGTCATGAGAATGGCTATTAAAGGGGCCCGCAGCAGTGAGGTCCAGGGGGAGGCAGAGCCACGGGGCTCTCGCACGTCACGGACACAGGCGTGAGCGGGGGCAGACACTCGGCAGCATCTACTGAAGATGAAACACATGTCCCTGCAGCCCAGCAATGCCCGGTCTAGGACCCACAACGGCAGGCTGTACCTGTGCTCCGAACGACATACGCAAGAGCGGGCGCAGCAGCAGCGCTCGCAATGGCCACAAAGCAGAACCGGGCAGACGCTCGGCTACGATAAGTGATAAACCGTGGTGTGTTCACAGAGTGGCGTGCCCCGCAAGTATAAAATCTGCATCAATTAACACACCGATGACATGAGACTCTCACTGACTTAATGTGCAGCAACAAAGAAAATGAGACAAAAAGAATGCATACTGCACACCTCTACATCTGTCGGATTTAAGAACAGTCCCCGTGGCTTCAGAAGCCAGGTCAGTGGTCACTCCAGGGAGGAGGGGAAGCAGTGACGGGGGCGGGTACGAGGGGCTCCCAGGGGCTGGCAACGCTCTCCTCCACTTTGCGACGGTTCACCAAGGGGCACAGCAGTCATTTCTGTGCTGCCTACACGTGAGTAAAACAAGCCTCAGGAGGAGTCTCAGTCTCTGACAGGTCATCCTGAGAATGAAAATACACCTGAGGTGAGGAGACTTCGGAGCAAACGTGTTGTGTTGGATGTGTGAACGAACCTCTGCCACCCAGACACTCCCCTAAAATCATGTGCACAAGTTTTAAAGAGCATTGACTGACAAGGACAAAAAGAACAGGACAGGGACAAGAGCAGCGAGAGGCGTGCACAAATTCTGCAAGCTAGAAAGTAAACAAGTGCCAACTGCCTACCTTGCGGCCCACAGGAAGATGCTCGTAGGTAAGCTTTTTTGGGAGCTGGGGGTGGGGGGGTCTGAAAGCCACTAACAAAAGGCAAGCTCCCTCAAGCCACAGAACTGCAAGAACAGCTTGAGCTTGGGAGGCCCCAGAAACATCTGAAAGCAGCCTGTCTGCCCCTGTGCACACTGCCGGCCACTCAGCCCTGGGTCTCCTCTCACCCGGGGCAGCCCAGGACATTGCCTTCGCTTCCCACCTCCCGCAAAGACTAGGGGATAATCTCCAGAGATGTTGGCACAGCCGAGGTCAGACATGAGGCACAGACAGAAAACAGACAAATGAAGAAAGAGTGTGCATTCTGACCAGTGAGACCGTTCGCCCCCTCTATCCCAGGATCCCAGGACAAACACAGCAGGCTTACCCTCCAAGCAGGAGAATGAGGAACCTTCCTCTAGGGATACTGACCACCTCAAGAGGAAAAGACTTACTGAGACTGACACTTATGCAGTGTCAGTGGAAAAGGAGGCTCACCATCCATCATACCTCATGAAGCCCACCATGGGACAGACCCTGCCACACACTTGCTTCCAATAAGCTTTTTAGAGTCTCACTCAAATCTAAATGGAAAACTGCCAACATAAAAGTGAAAGACCAGAACAGAGAGTACAGAGGAAGTCAAAAGAAACAGACAATGAAGAAGTCAAAGAAAGTTGTCAAGAAAACTGTAATCAATATCCTCAGAAGATAAGGAGTGTATTCATGAAGCAAGAAGAGGATGCCAGAAAACATAAACATTCTGAACACAAGAAGGAGCTCTTAGAAATTAAAAATACAATAGCAGGAACAAAAACTCAACATACAGATGGACATCTATAAAGTACAGAAAAAAAGAAAAGGAAAATAGAAATAAAACATAACAAAATACCATCACAATAAGGGAGTATGCCTAGGAAGGTAAAGATATGGCATCTAGAAATCAGGCATCCAACAGGAGAGCAGCAAAAATAATTCCTAAGAGGACAGGAAAGAAAAGTCCTCAGACCTAAAGAGCATCTGGACCAGACTGAGGCAAACAGCTGGAGAATTCTAGGACAAAGGACTCTGGTGGAGAAAACGGACCCAATAAATTATCTGTCACGTGGAGAATTGCATTGAGACACATTTTACAAAGCTGTTTGAAGGTATGAGAAGACTTTATAAATGGCCAAAGAATAACAAGCAAAATAAAAAAGAGGCAATTATTAAATCCCAAAAAAACAAAAAGTTCAATAAAGAAGCAGAATACAAGAACAGATCATAACTAGTTGTGACTATTACTTGGACATGATAATGTCACACTGAATACTGATATAACTATAGTAAGAAGATGGGAGCCAGGTTAGGGTTAAATTTATCTTTCAGAGTAAAAATTATTTTTAAAAAACCCCAAAAACTAGCACTACATTGCTATAATACACATGCTATATAGCTTGCTATCTAGAAATGTGGAGGGAAATACCAAAAGAAACACTAACAAAGGACTGACCCACAAAAAGGAGGAAGTCAAGAATCTATAATCTTCACACTATGTGGCAGGGTCACAATTTCTGGACATTAAAAACAAAACACAAACGTGGTTGGGGAGTTTGTTCTGTTTGTTGAGGCACAGAACAAACAGGAAGGCAAGTGGTCCCCACCAGCTACAAGGCCATCATCACTGGGCTTTCTCCTGCCTGCACTCCTGGGACAGTCACCTCTCCCAAGTTAGGTTAAAGAGTCAGTCTAATACACCAAAAATCAATCTGTTCTGGAAAATCACCTTTTGAATTTGCATCCATATACCCTCTCCCTACTTAACTCTTCACCACATGATAAGAAAGCGGAAGTAGAAAGAAGCTCTTAGTGTGCCTCAAAATAATTAAAAAGATTTTCATCTAAATCATGAAGCACAGTATTAACTCAAGAAGCACTCCCAAATGACCGCCTGTCCAAAAGCCCTAACTGCCCACAAGACTCATTCATGTTTGTGACTTGAGGTAATAATCATACCTTAACTTCATTGTCATTTGCAAAATTGCCAAAAGAAGCCATAATTTTGGGTACAGCTGCAGCCAAGGTCTCCTGAACAGATTCCTCAGGTCTCTTGCTTATTCGAGTCAGGCAAGGCAAAAGGTTTACCAAGTAAGGCCTGCACATGTGAAAGGAACAGGAGTTATTCTTCCAGGTCTACTTTAGTGAGAAACATAAGCAATTATTTAGTACCTGTTAGGGAAGAGCCAGTTTTTATATGCATAACAGTCCTTAACAGAAAGTAGACAAATCTCAGCAAAAAGAACTGGAGGGCTAAAATGCTGATCAACTTCTAATGTGGGAGACACTTATCTTTCATTTCTCCTATGATCACAGAGGACTCTCAAAAGCTTGTTTTAAAAACTATTTGTGGGGGCGCCTGGGTGGCTCAGTTGGTTAAGCGACTGCCTTCGGCTCAGGTCATGATCCCAGAGTCCCGGGGTCGAGTCCCACGTCAGGCTCCCTGCTCAGCAGGGAGTCTGCTTCTCCCTCTGACCCTCCTCCCTCTCATGCTCTCTGTCTCTCATTCTCTCTCTC